AAGTAAGTTTTTCTTTAACAAGAGTAGAGTTCATTGCTCGCATAATTTTATAACAGTACACCGCTAATATCTGAACAAGGCATCTAAAATAGCCAAAAATCCTATTATCTCTATACCTATTTCTTTTTGATTGAGAATGTATCCGATTTTAGTATTGCAACTAAGAGTGTATACAGTTGCACGTTGCATCTTTTCTATCATTGTTACTAAAATGAATTACAAGTAATTGCTACAGCAAATAAAATTGCTAACACTCTGTGTAAATATGTAGGTTTCACTATAATTATTATGATCTTTTCTTTTATATGAATTGAGTAAACTGTAATTTTTATAGAACATTTTATGCATATTTTATCTCTTCTATTATCATTTATTTCCATAGGATTTATGAACATTTTATTTACCCTTTTCTTCTCTATTTTTATTTGATTGTTTAATATTTCTACTTTTATTTATGTAGAGTATAAGGGTTTTTGGTTCCTGTATATATGAATTTGAATTATTATTAACTCCTTATGTCTTTTTCAGAATAATACTGATTGACATTCACAATTCCACTTTAAAATGATCTATTTATGAACTTTTTTTAATCATTACTGTCATTATAACAATCTTCCATTGAATATATTTTTGTTATTAGATGCATTAGTATATTGATTTTAATATATTGTATAACTCTTTAAGATACATTATTATACCTATGTCTGTATACTGTACCATTTATATGTAATGATGGCTTATACATGAAAAGTTCTGCCATAAAAAATGTATGCACCTTTAAGAAATCTTGACAGGAATCACAATCTCATAGGGTATATATGCTGTGACACACGGATCCTTCATTATCTTGAAAAAGCCTGCCAAGCATGGGTGAAACGCGTTGATGAGCTGAGGATCCATTTCTTCATTTATTTGTATTTTCCCGGTATCAGCAGTATTGTCCAGCGGTCTGAGATTACAATGTCCCTCCGGTTTCATTATTTTCTGTGCGGCTCAAAGAGAGAAGTTTTTACTGCTACAGCTGCTTCAACAGAAGGGTAACGCTACTGCTCAACTGTCTGTACTGGACTAATTAGTGGTTACAATTTTATATCACGTTTTGATATATTTCTTGATTACTTTGTGTATTTATATTTTTATTACCATGAAAATTGTGTTTTTCTTTTTGCAAATAAACTGTGTTTGATTACATCCCACTTATAGTAATTTCTGCTATACCAAAATTGCAACATTAAGCTG